TGGCCTAGAAGTGATTTCTCTACTGAAATGCTACCCGGAGGTCATGCCATCCTCGTGCACACATGAGCCGGAGACGGGAGACTGGGCATGTGCAGGGCCAGGGGCGGGGATTATTCGGATTCTTCATTTTATCGGAGTGGCCTTGCCTCTGGGACGTCCAAGGCCGCAGGGAATGTCACCTCTGTCCCACTGGAACCCCAGGGGGGCCGGCAGGGGATCCCCCGACCCACCCCGTGGATGGGCCCCTGGGTGGCTGAAGCCGCGGCTGGCGTCTGTTCTCGGACTGTCCCTGGGAGCTCATCACGTGCGCAGCACCCCGCGTGCCGTCCTGGGCGCCGGGGTGGTTTTTAGGGTTTTCTTTCTCTCTGATTTCCCTTCATGTTCTCCACAGTTGATGATTTTTCTGCAGAAATAAGGCTGCGAAGAAAAGAACCTATTTCATTTCCAGTTCCCATCACCGCGATTTCCACATGGATGTCGTGACGTGGGGCCCAGCTTCCGAAATGTCCAGGTGACTCACGCGGGGACACCCCGGGGCGGAGCGCAGGAGTTTCTCGGGCGGCGGCGGGGCGGGCGCTCGGCGCTCGGGCGGCGGCCGGCAGCTTGGCTCCGACGCCCCCTGGTGGCGGCGGCGGGGCCGCTGGCTCCCAGCGCTGAGCCCGGTCACATGACTGGAAAGTCCCTGCGTGGAAATCCCCTTTTACCGCAGCCCTAAAACAGAAAGGGGAAAAAAGAGGACTGCGCAGTCTTCGCGGCGGCCAAGTGCAGCATCAGGCTTCCAGCCCGCGGGGGCCGGCGCAGCGTGAGTGGCCGGCTGCCGGAGACGTACGGCGGCGGCGGCGGCGGCAGCAACAGGATCCAGGAGTGCGCCGTCCATGGGGCGCTGGCCCGCCCTGACCTCTCCGCGCTTGCACTGACACAGGACTTTGGAACCGGATTGCATGAGCCCCCGACAGGTAACCGCCTCCCCGTGCCTGGCACCGGCTCATCTGGGACTAGGGCTGAGGGTGCATCTTTGGCACCCTGGGACTCTGGAGCTTGCTTTGCTTCCTTCATGTGGCATTCGTCTTGCAGTGAGTGGTCTTGGAAGGGAGTTTGTTAGACTTTGGTGCTCATTTTTGGTTTTGAAATGCGAGACTTGAGGTCCCCTCTCCAGATGTTGGGGTGACAGCTCTGAATTCTTCTAGCTGGCAGATCCTTTCTACAAATGCACTGGACTTGAAGTGCAGCTTGCTGATGGAAGGCGACTTCCAGACCACTTTATTGGGTGGGTCGTGGGTGCTTTGCCCGTTTTGTTTCTTTGTTTTTAGAGTTGAAGTGCTTGTTGCATGCTCTTGGCCACGTAGACCTAGCCGACCTGCTGTGGCTTCTGCAGGGTTTCTGCAGAACCAGCCCAGCAGGGGTGGTGCGTTCCAGGGGCTGCAAGACCTGATGTGGGTAGGGGGCTTCAGGCAGCTTGTTGACAATGTGCAAGTGAGAGGAGATGGGTTCATCCTTTAAAATTGCTGCGCTGGGAGAGGAGAATGCATGAAGAAGCGGGTCGCCCGCCTTCCTATTGGGGGGCCCTGGCTTATGAGCCATCTGCAGGCCCCCGCCTGTCTTTCTACCCAACAGTCAAGACTGTCTTTTGTGAGTCCAGGTCGCCGCACATCCTGCCACCTGGCCTCTCAGGAAAGCAGTGGTATTAAGTAAAGAGCTTAGCTCTTTTTGAGACCGCTTTGTTTTCCGTTCTCCATGCCTCTGCTCTTTCCTTGGAAAACTGATCCAGTCAAGCACCTTGGAGCAACATTTTTGGGAGAAACATTCTTAATTCGTCCCCTGAGTCCCAGTCCTGAATGTTGTCATTACTGTGCAGCCCCGTTAGGGCACCATTGTCGTTTAAGATGCTGCTTTGAGCTTTACAATTCTTTCTGCATTTTTTAAAAATAACTTTCTGAAACGTACTTTCAAAAAAATTTTGAGGGGATATTTGCTGGTAAATCGTTCATACATTTCCATATCGTAACAAAAAATGTATGCTTAGAGTGGAAAAAAAAATTAAACAAGGGAGGAAAGACTTTGAGTGATGCATAAGTTCTGTAGCATCTCATTGCTCATAATGACAAAAATGGAGAAATAATCCACAAATAAGCCCAAAGGAGGTCACAGAAATGTAAAAAAGAAAGTGGTCACAGTAATATTGTGCTCCTCTGACCAGAAGGCCATTACAATTGAATCTCTCTAAAATGTATTTTTTAAATCATAAATGTGGAGACGTACAAGAACTAGAACGTGAGGCAGTGTGTAGGCTGTGAGAGAGAAAACTTATGAGTGAGGTGTTACTGGGCCATTAAGTATGGAGCTGATATGCCTTGCTGTACTTGAACAGCCATCATTATTTCAGGTTTTTGCAGAAAGATCTTTAGGCCCAGAAAAGACAAACAAGAGAGTCGGAAAGGTAAAAACCATCCCTACTTGTTTTAAATTTTACTTTTTTACTTCTTGCCTGTTTCCCTCTGGGAGCAAAAGGTTGTGCAGTTATAGTCATGGTTTAGTAGGACAAGCAGGTGCCAAGTCCTGGAAGACTTAGGTTCTAGGCAGGGTTCTGACCACTCATAACCACAGGATTCTAAGCAGAGACCTGTACTTTTTAAGGTCATGTTTTGTTTGTGGCCACCATGTCAAGCACAGTCCCTGGCCTTCAGCAGGGCTTGCTAGCTAGATGGACGGATGAATGACAACATGAAGGGGATCTCTGACCTGCTGCAAGGCGGATTCATAGATGGGACTTTTATCCTCTGACTTTATCTCTGGTGTTGCAGTTATTCTGCCAGCTCCTCCTGCAGGGGCTACTTACATCAAAGGAGAGGTCGTCATCTGGCCAAGAGAATCACTTGTTCCAGGCTCCACTTGACAGATTAAAAATCTCAAAAGAAAAAAACAACAACCAACTTTCAGAAAACCCCTCAGAAGCAACCTGTAGTTTACCTCGCCCAACTTCTTTTCTTTAAGTGAATCATAAGAATTTAGAACACTTCAAGGAGCTTGGCTCCATCCAGGAATGGCTTTTCATGTCTCTCATGCATAGTTTTAATGCCTTTCTCAATTGGATGCTGGTCCCTTGCAAACAGTTTTGTGCAGGAGTGGGATTAAGAATTGCCTTGATACTTCCCAAGAAAGATCTTCATGTTGTGAAGTCATCGTCATCTTCTTGGAAATGAAGGTGTGAGGGGAGGCATGCTGGACCTCCCCACAGTTCCCTGCTGGGAAGATCAGACATTTCGTCAGTTCCTATCATGGCACACTGTTGGCATGGATTGTAGATGCTGCCCTTTGCCTAGAGTCCTCTTTCATTTGTCTTGTTTGACTCCCTGCCTGAAAATAATTTCCTTATCTGCTTTCAATCTTTCATCTCCTCCCACCAATTTGCAGATTTTAGGGCAAAGAAAAGAATGCTAACTGCATTGTGAGTCTTGCTTCCTGAAGCACAATGATAAAATTTGGTTAGCTGTTGAATTACGAAAATTGAGCTCCCCTGTCTGCTGTTGGGAGTGCAGGATATACTATTCCATTATGATGTCTACTCTGTTTATTATTACACTGTTGTAAAGTCCGCTGGAGAGGTTCTGAAGGACCCATGATCATTTGTTCTCATCAAATGAAAAGTAGCTTGGTAGAAATAGGCTTTGCTCTTGAAGAGGATGCTAATTAAACATGCTGCTTTCATTCTTGTCACTCTCTGGGGCTAAAGAGAGACTATAGTACAAGCCTAGGTGACAGCATCCAGGGCAAAATTTTTTATTACTATTATTATTATTATTAATTTTAATGAAAGTTTACAGAGACTTTGGATTTCCATTCATTCATTGTTGCACTTTTCTCCCTGCCCACCCTTCCCCCCAGTTTGCTCTTCTCTTTGAAAAGTAAAAGAACAATTCTTGCATTGTGATATAGTCCCTCTCCCCAAGTCCACTCTACTATGCAGCATTCCTTCTGGACTCCTGTCCTGACAATAATACTTACCTAATCACATATCCCTTTAAACAGTTTTCTCCCTCATCTGTTTCAATGCAGTATACACAATTTATCCCATATTTCTCAGTCTTTCCCCAACCCCGATGTCAGTTCCATTTTACAGCAGTGGCACTATGCAGTATTTGTCCTTTTGGACTGAAATATTTTACTCAGTATAATGTCCTCCAGGGTCACCCGTTCTGTACAATATTTCATGAGTTTCTTGTTTTTCAATGCAGCATAATATTCCAAGTGTGAATATACCAGAGCTTCTCTATCCATTCCTTTGTTGATGGGCACTTAGGTTGTTTCCAGCTCATTGCTATTGTGAACAAAACCATGATAAACATGGGTGTGCATATATCTGCTTGGGTGGCAGTTATGGTTTATTTGGGGTATATTCCCAGTAGTGGAATTGCTGGGTCAAATGGTATTTCTATTTACAGCTTTTTTAAAAAGCGCAGGGCAAGATTTTTCACAAACTATTCAATATCCCTCCAGTAGAGGGAGAGAGTTTTTGCATCCATAAGTCAGACTTTGTCTGAGAGCGAGTGTTACTTGGTGGTCTTCAGGGAGGAGTTCCAACTTGTCATGACTAAGTCATGCCCATAACTGGCATTCAGGTCTCCTCAAAACCAGGGCTGTCCAGGAGTGGCATCCCAAAGAAATGGGAGCTTAAGTTGATTAGGAAGCATAGTACCTGTTGCTGACAGATGGGCTTGGCTCCTTGACAGATATTACTGAAAACACGGGTTATTCCCCTCCTCCTCAGTGCCCACTCTCCACCTTCCTTCTCTTGTTTAGACTAATCTTTAAAAGTGATGTAACTTAAAACAGTCCAGTGTGAGTTAATCTTTGGGGCCAGGTAGTAACCTGGAGTGGAGGTGACTAAGATCTTTTGCCTACAAGATTAGGGTAATGACAAGATCAAACAGTGGGCTTTCCTGCAGGCAGGTCTATAGGACTCCTATCAAAGCCAGGCTAATGGAATGGGTTTTTCTCTCCCCTCCCTTGCAGGTGTTGAGGACCACGATGGCTGAACAACTCCTTCCCCAGGCGTTGTATTTGAGCAATATGCGAAAAGCTGTGAAGATAAGAGAGAGAACACCAGAAGATATTTTCAAACCTCCCAATGGGATAATCCATCATTTTAAGACCATGCACCGGTACACCCTGGAAATGTTCAGAACTTGCCAATTTTGTCCCCAGTTTCGTGAGATCATCCACAAAGCTCTCATCGACAGGAACCTGCAAGCCTCACTGGAAAGCCAGAGGAAGCTCAACTGGTGTAGAGAGGTGCGGAAGCTCGTGGCTCTGAAGACCAATGGTAAGGTGGGCTCTGCCCTGTTGCTTCAGTCTGTGGGACGGGACTCGAGGTGCTTCATGTCCATGCAGTAAACGTAACAGTGCAAGTGTACACAGATATCTTTGAGGCCGTTGGCACTTTGGTATGGACACTCAGGCCATGCAAAATAAGAACAATTATGTTTTGCTGGTGCTTTTCATTTAAGGCTCATTGCTAGGTGTGTGTTAGAAAGCATCACCCGCTGGGGCTGAGAGAATGCATTTCTAATAAGCATGCCCAGTTAGATGATTTATGGACCTCATGCTTGTGCGTGCTTAATCATCAGTAAAATACTCTTCCCTACCCAGGAATGGCAATCTTAAAAGGCAATGAATACACAAGGAGCATGTAGTGTGAAAATCAGATATTACTGCTGTTTTGAATTATAGCTAGAAAATGCTCTATACCTTTAGAATGGATGGCATTTTTTTGTCTTGAGTAGTGAATGTCTCTGGGGGACAAGGGTGTTCCTTTGATCACCTGCCTGCTAACCCAGGCTCTGTTGCCAGTGGCCCCATTATATGAAACAGAAATAAACCTTGAGATTTTTAGCCTAAATTTCAGACCTCTCCCTCATTGTTGTTTGTAATTCCTCGTCGAATCCTCTTAGTCGGAATCTGGTCATCCAGTGTGCTTCACTCTAGTAGGTATTTTCACCCTGTCACTATGTGGTTTGTAATTATGTCTTTTGGGCAACAGTAGGTTCATCAGCCTACACTTCCATGAATATTGTTTAGTGTATGCAGTCAATTCTCCTTTGTAGATACAGGTGATTATTACAATAATAAGTACAGTCTTCAACATGAATTAAATGCTTGTCCTCTCAGCTTTTTATATCAATGACATTCCTGTGCCATCCCATTCAAGATCTTTTAAGAATAGAAACTCATAATTGTTGACACTGGTTTTTTATAAGAACACCACCTGAATTGGTATAGTAACTTTATAGCTTGGGTCATTTTGAACTCTGATAACCTGAAATGACTGGTGAGCATGCCCTTCTGTGCGCTTTTGGTTTGTTGCTTTTAATTTTCTGCCCTTTAGTCCGGGAGCTTGTGTGTCGTCATGTTTTGCCGATGCATGTGAACCATATACTCTTCGAAGCATTGGTAGAGAAACACTGCAGATACCTAGTGTGTATGTTGCTTGTGAAGGAGACCTGGTAATGCAGAGTGTAGTGTGTAAGGTTGGTAACCAAAAGGTTGGCATTTTGTATCTACCAGTTACTCCTTAGAAGTCTTTCTCTTCCTATTAAGATTCACAGCTTTCGAAACCTAATGGAGGGTCACTGTGAATGGAGATTGGCTCCCTGGTAGTGGATTTATATTGCGTATAGCGTTATATCAAGTGAAGCCTAGAAGTCGATCATACTAAGTCATCAAGAGGTTGTATGCGTCTTACAGTTTGTGACTTAACTCTCTGACTTTGCTACAAAATGCTGTGGCATCTTCTTCAGAAAAAATGGGGGGGCAATGCTATTTCCCCCCCAGCATTAGAAATACAGTAGAAAAGGGGGTAGCCTTGTTACCATTTACAGTATTAAATTATATAACTTAAATCAGCAACAACCAAAAAAAAATCACAGCACAAATAAAATTACTAAGGCAGGTGCATTTTTGCATGATTTATGGGGAAATTGGAACTTTTAGTTTCAGAATTCCTTATTCCCCTACCTGAATGAAAATGCCATGAAATTCTGAGAAAGAAAGATGTTTCGAGGAGAAAACAAATGACTTTTATGTCCTGTTGGGTTGTGTTTTTTTTTTTTTTTATCAGCACCCTCCCCCCTTTTTAAAACTTTCTACACAGTCAATGAGCCGTTTGGGGAGGGGGTGATTCACAAGTTTGCATTTGAGGATATGAGACTGCGGTGAATGAGGAAGGGAGTAGGTGGCATAAAATTGAAACTTCATGTGAAAAATTCCATAGTCTATTGGCTGCAGCATTTCACTTGTCTAATGAGTAGCCGTATTCCAGTTCACCCTGACCACACCCACTTGGAAAGTCCAGGGTGCACCTCACAGTTTAAATGTCTACACACCAGAACAAAAAGTGCAATAGCTGTTGCTCAATTGCTAGTCAAATAACTTAGCACTGGGGAATTCCAGATGTTACTTAGGGAATTTCATACTGGTGCATCTCAATAAAGAACTGAAAGTAAGCACAAGAAGAAGAAGAGAAAAAAAAAAGGCTTATCTTTGCTCTAGATTTTGCAAAGGGGAAATTTCACCAGAATGCAATAGTTACCACACTTCTGGCAAGACCCAGGGCTTCAGCGATCTTTTGGGTTCGTTCATTTGAGTACTTGTTTAGCTAGTCTGAATGTGTAAATAAATGGAAAGAAGCTGACTGTGGACATACTTGAGATTTTGTTTGGTTGGTTTTCTGTCGCTTAATTTCAAACAAAATTGTGTACAATTTCAAATAGCTTTTATTGCTCTAGTTCGATAGTACTTCTTAAAGTTTTTCTTTAGAAAATGTGTTTTGCGCTTACCAAGGGAGATTAAAGAGTTAACTTGAAAAAATTAACCTTTCTGTATCAAGTTTGTCCCCAGATGGTTATTGTTAGGGAGACTGAAGAAAGAATGTCTTTATTAAATGGCTATTTGTTACATAGAAAGAGCCAGACATTAATGGGATAAAAATAGATTCTAGTTTTTCTTCAAAATGCTCAAAATTTCCACAATTTCATACTTCAGGGCTGAGTTATTCTCAAATTGAGACAGTCAGGCTCGAGATAGCATTTGAAAAGGGACTTTGCGATTGCTAGGTCTCAGACTCACATGAAGCATTTCTGGGGGGTAGAGGTGAACAGTAAGTAATGCGGTGGCACCAACCCCACTTCTTAAAGCAGGAGAGGAAACTCCCAGGCCTCACATTCAAGTGGAATGGTCGGCTCACTTCCCACTGAGTCATAAGCAGACCAGCCCGTGTCTAGTAACCCGCCATGCCCGCTTCCTGGTTTGTGCATGGTGCCTCTGCACCCCATCTTAGAGAGCTGGGTGTCTTAAGTCTCAGCCAGAAAACAAAGGACATTTGACAGGACATTTGAAAGGGACAGGAATTTAGACATCATAATCCAGTGGTCTCATTTCATGAAGAGGAAAAATATCCAGAGGTTAAGGAATTTCCCCCAAGGTCACCTAATCTCATTAGTGGGAGCACCTAGCTGAAACCAGGGCCCTGATTACCAGCCTCTGTGCCTCTGTGTCTGCTGCTGTATTCTTCCCACTCACTAAAAAATGAGGGAAGGCATTTATGCCCCTAAAACTGTTGCTTATTTGTGAAGTGTTATCAGAGGGCTCTTTGACTAAGAAACTGAGCTGTTTGCATTGCATCACATGGTCTCTGTATTCCCCTGTAAAAGCAGTGTTGTTGTTTGTTCAGTCCACTCTACTTGGTCTCTCAGAGTTCCCATATGTGACAGGACATTGCCCGAGCCTATCCCATCTTCCCAACCACTGACATGCTCAGTTCATTGTTGAGCCCCTGTGGCCTGTGTGTTTTGAGTCCCTTCTAACTAACCCAGAACACTCATCTTCCAGCACTTATGTTGGTCAGCACTTTGTGATCAATAGTTTTCAGTGGTTAATTTCTACTAGTAGATGGCTAGACCTTTCTTCCTATTGTATCTTAGTCTGGAAGGCTCCTGCAACCTGTCCACCATCATGTGTCATCTTCCTGGTATTTAAAATGCCAGTGGCACAGCTTCCAGCGTCACAGCAAAATACAAGGCACCATGAAGGATAATCTAGCAGAAGGGTGGTGGGTTAGAGCAGAAGAGCTTGTGGATCTGAAAACAATTGCCAGGCCTCGCATACACGCGTCTAATAGCCATCTTCTTCCCTCTGTCTCCAGGGGATGGGAACTGTCTGATGCACGCTGCTTCTCAGTACATGTGGGGCGTTCAGGACACGGACCTGGTCCTCAGGAAGGCGCTCTTCAGCACTCTCAGGGAGACCGACACGCGCAACTTCAGATTCCGCTGGCAGCTGGACTCCCTCAAATCTCAGGAATTTGTAGAAACGGGGCTTTGCTATGATACAAGGGTAAGTTTGGTTCCCCCTTTGGGTCTCTACTGACTGAGCTCTGTGGTAGCTGGAGGGAAAGTTAGGCCCAGTCCCGGCCCTCAAGGAGCTGATTTACTGGATTGAGTGACTCTAACTAGTGTTAGGTGGAAAACACCAGGAAATCTCCTGTGGCTTTAGCCTGAGGCCTTTGTTGCTTCTCCAGGCTGGAGAGTGGTGACGCTCTGCTCTGCTTTTGAATCCTTTGGGCCCTTGATAATGTTCTTTTCATTTGTAATTCCTGTTGGTTTTCAGTCTGGTTGCCCTTTGCTCGCTTTACTGAGCCAGCAAATCACACTTAGCCACGTGGTCACCATTCTCAGTCACAAGTCTGGAATTTTTGTGTGGATGAGGGGCTTTGATTTTATGCCTCATCAGGGTTTTGAATTTTTCTTTTTTTTTTCTCTCTAGAGCAGGTGCTGTCCCTTATCCTCCCCCACTTCTGAATTTGCCTTGTAGTGGAAAAAAAGCAAAGGAAGAAAGCCAAAGGGGGGAGAAGAATGATCATTTCAGTGATTGTTTCAAAAAAGGGAAAAAACAGAAACAGAGCTAGAGATGAATAAGTGTAGTGTGGAGTCAGAATTTGCCGTTTTAATGCAAACGTACATGCAGTGAGTTTTATTCTTTATCCCCTCAGAATTGGAATGATGAATGGGACAACCTGGTCAAGATGGCGTCCACAGACACTCCAGGGGCCCGGGGCAGACTTCAGTACCACTCACTGGAGGAAATCCACATATTTGTGCTGAGCAACATTCTCAGAAGGCCAATCATTGTCATTGCAGGTGAGATACCTACACAGACTTGCTTTTCAGCATTGATGCTTTGACTCAAGGAAGAACCCCACCGTCAAAGCTACAGGTTAACTGGCAAAGTGGAATCTGATGAAAGTCACCCGTGGGCCTTACATTTCCTTCCCTTTCTTAAACAGATAAAATGCTGAGAAGTTTGGAATCTGGTTCAAACTTTGCCCCACTGAAGGTGGGCGGAATCTATCTGCCTCTCCATTGGCCTGCCCAAGAATGCTACAGATACCCCATCGTTCTAGGCTATGACAGCCAACACTTTGTTCCCCTGGTGACCCTCAAGGACAGCGGGCCTGGTAAGACCACAGCACCCCCTTCACATGTGTAACTTCTGTTACAGAGAAATGTTTTCTAACTGAATGGCAACTAAAACCAACACCAAACTCACTGCTCTCAAATTCATTCCAACCCAGATACCCCGCACTGGGTTAAATCATTCCTAAAGGCGATTGCTCATCTTTCTCTAGCAGAGCTGCTGGTGGATTCGAACTACAAAACTTTTGATAAGCAGCTCAACACTTTGAGCATTATGTCACTAGGATCCTTCTTGCTTCTTAAAGAGATATTTTTTCTTTAATCATAATGTAACTTGGAAAGTAAAAGTAATGCAGTGGTAGTAATTATAATATTTTATATTTTTATGCCTTATGCTATTGTTTGTGAGGTACTTTCAATTGGCATTCTGAATTGAAGCAAGAGTCAGATTTTATACATATATATATGGAATATACGTAAGGAATTGCACTGCCCACTGTAAAGGCTTGCAGTTTGAATGCACTAAATGCTCCATGAGAGAAAGATGGGCAGTCTCCTCCCGCGTAATTCGCTGCTTCTGAAAACCCACTGGAGGGTCAGCTGTTAGTTGGTTCCAACTCAACAGTACATAGTAACAGATACATACGTGTGTATAATGGAACCCCTGGATGGTACAAACAGTCTTTTCTGTGGCTAAAATTAAAAGATTGGAGGTTCAAGCCCAACTAGAGGTGTCCCAGAGAAAAAGTCTTGCAGTCTACGTCTGAAAAATCAGCCATTGAAAATGCTGTAGAGCCCAGTTCTACTCTGATAAAATGAGTCATCAACAGTTGAGATCAACTTGATGGCACTAATAAATACTGTTACTGTTAATACGTAGTATATTAAGGCATTCAGGGCCCTTAAAGCAGGGCCTTAATACAACGGCTAAATGTCTATCGAGGTCACCTGTTATTGCAGTTCTTAGCGTAACCTGGAGTAGGTACTGTGCTCAGTGGTTTTCATACATTATTTCATTTCATATCATCCACCCAGCATGCCTTTGAGTCATAGGCGATGTTTATTTTATAGATGAAGTACTCAAAGTTCAGAGAATTTAAATAACTTGCCCTAAATTCACGCGGCTTAATAGTGACAAAGCTAAGATTCAACCTCGAGTCAGTCTGATTCAGCAGCATGGGACTCTAATGCGTAAGCCATACTGCCTGGAGTCTGCGTGATAGCCTCTGAGACCTGGGAACAGTGCACTTTATATTGGGGTCGAATGTATCTGTGGCTTAAATAAACTTTCCATTCTTTGATTGAATCTTTTCTACATTTTCAAAGTTTGATCATCATGCATATGATCTCCCTTATACTCTCCATTTATTTGATTCACTAATATTTTGCTTACATGTTCTTTTTTTTCCTCAGAAATCCGGGCTGTTCCACTTGTTAATAGAGACCGAGGGCGATTTGAAGATTTGAAAGTTCACTTCCTGACAGATCCTGAAAATGAGATGAAGGAAAAGCTTTTGAAAGAGTACTTGATGGTGATAGAGATCCCCGTGCAGGGTTGGGACCTCGGCACCACGCATTTGATTAATGCTGCAAAGTAAGCAGTTTCTTTTTAGCTAGATTCTTCTTAACCTTTCACTGTTCTTCCAACGTCACCCACATACGCTGCTGCCACCGGTGCCTCAGCTCAACAGCAGTGTTATTTCAACATAGTTCCCTCTGATGGCGAACAAATTCCGAGTCATGTGCATGTGTCAGAGAGGATGACCATAGGCTTCAGATGGGAATGGGTAATTTGTCCGTGGATTGTCCTGGACGTCTTCATGCCACGAGTCAAAACTGTGGGATTGAAACATGCGCTCCCACCCGAGAAGCTTGGGTTTCTGTGTTTTTTTAATCTCCCTAATACCAAGCCAAAGGTTGTATAGCCCTGGTCTGCCCATTTGCCATACAGACGTAGCTTGTGGTTGCTGTAAAGCTGAACATTGTGACACTGATGTGGTGTCAAATGCAATAATGGTTACCCATGATGGACAGTGTTCGGTGGAGCTCCCTGATTAAAACAAGCTTGGAAGCAGGGATGGCATCCACTTCTGTAAATAGCTTGCCTCCAGAAACCCTGTGAACCTGGAGAAATGATGAAAGGCACGCCAGTGTCGAGAACTTTCGTTCATAGAGTCGCTATGAGTCACCTATGACTCGATGGCACTTAACAACAACAACAATACATATAAAATAACTGCCAATTTCTCTCAAGCCAGTTCTGCCTCATGACTGCCCCAGGTGTGCAGTGTAGAACAGTGTTTTCTTGGGGTTTTAAGGCTTTATTTAACCTTTCAGAAGCAGATCACCAGGCCTTTCTGCAGAGGCACCTACAGATAGCTCAAACCACTAGCCCTTCAATTTAGGCTGCAGCAGGAAAACTAGCAAGTGACAATACTGGGGAACAAAAACCTTTTTCTTCAGTTGCTTATTAAGACTAGGTACGTCAGGCACCTCCTGCTGTCAAAGGTGACATGTGACCGCATGTGACTTTTGCCACAAGGAAATGAAGGAGGCCCAGGTGTACCCTGTACAGGTGTCCAGGTTTTAAACTAGATTTACGTTAGCAGGACGTCCACTTCTTAGAACCAGAAATGAGTGGATAAGATAATTGCCTCATGCGTTTGCTCAAAGCGGAAATTGAATTCATCCGCTGCTATTGAGGCAAACCCAAATCATGGCGAACCGGCCAGACCCATAGACTTGCTGCTGTAGGGTTTCTGAGGAGGTAAGCCTTCAAGCAGCAGCCTGGCTCACCCACTACCTCACCGTTCTTATGCCACTTGGCTAGCAGATGCTAACCACCAACATTCCAGTTAGCAGCCGAGCACCTTGAACCATGCCAGATGGAAACAGCGTCCTTGCCAGTGGATCCATCAGCCTCCAAGCTGCCACTCAAGGCAGTTGTTGCTGGTAGAGACAAGGTTTAAAATGAGTAACAGCAAAACACTTGAGAACACAAAAGTTCCAGAGTCATATGGAATAGAAAGTGAACTGGACCCAGAGTAGTAACCTGAGTAATGTTTTATTTAAAACCGGATCTTTGGGATGTTTGGAAATATAAGTGACTTTTTTAAAAAGGAGCAATTAAGAAGTAAATTGAGAGTCTTTGGAGAGTATCCCTCTGTTCGGAATTAGCTACACTTCTGGGTTGGACAAGTTGATTAAATGAGACTGGCATTAAAAATAATGACATCGTAGCATAGTGCTTCATACTTAAGAACACGTGACCATGCGTCCCGGGCCAGGGTGCTCTGAGGGACAGCTCTTCTGCACAGATCTGTGTATGCGTGGGTGGTTCTAACAGTTATCACCGTCACCAAACGTTCTAGTTCTCAAAGTTCGCTGATAAAATCGAAGTGTGTGTGTTCTCATTGTTTTCCCCTCTTGATCCTTAGGTTGGATGAAGCTAACTTACCCAAAGAAATCAATTTGGTGGATGACTACTTTGAACTTGTTCAGCATGAGTACAAGAAGTGGCAGGAGAACAAAGAACAAGGACACAGAGAGAGGCACGCTCAGAACCCTCTGGAACCTTCCATGCCCCAGCTTTCTCTCATGGACGCAAAATGTGAAACCCCCAACTGTCCTTTCTTCATGTCGGTGAACACCCAGCCTTTATGCCACGAGTGCTCTGAGAGGCGGCAGAAAACCCAGCATAAACTCGGGAAGCTGAACACTAAGGCGGGCGCTGAGGCAGTCCCTGGCATGGCTCTCGGGGCCTCCCGCGGCGAGGCCTGTGAGCCCTTGGCCTGGAGGCCTGAGGAGCCCATGGAGGGACCCCACTCAGCCCCGCCGACGGCACCCAGCCTTTTCCTGTTCAGCGAGACCACCGCCATGAAGTGCAGGAGCCCTGGCTGCCCGTTCACACTCAACGTGCAACACAATGGATTCTGTGAGCGTTGCCACAACGCCCGGCTGCTTAACACCAGCCACACCACGGACCCCACAAGGCATTTGGACCCTGGTAAGTGCCGAGCTTGCCTCCAGGAAGCCACCAGGACCTTTAATGGGATCTGCAGTACTTGCTTCAAAAGGACTACGACAGAGTCCACCTCTATCCTCGGCTCTAGTGTCCCTCCTTCCTGTCACCAGCGGTCCAAGTCGGATCCCTCCCAGCTCATCCAGAGTCTCTCCCCGCATTCTTGCCACAGAGCTGGAAGCGAGGCCCCGGTAGGCTGCCTTTCCCAGGCTGCACGGACCCCCGAGGACAGGACTGGCACCAGCAAGTGCAGGAAGGCCGGCTGCATGTATTTCGGAACTCCAGAAAACAAGGGCTTCTGCACGCTGTGTTTCATCGAGTACAGAGAAAACAAACGTGAGTCGTGAGTCGAATGCTTGCTTTCTTAATGCAGCCCCTGCTGACCGAGGCAGGTTTTGTTCCCAAGGACAGAGAGAAGGGGTCACTTGGGGCAGTTGGTTCGGATCTGCTTGTGCTGCCTTTCTATCAGCTCTGACAGCCTGGTTGGGGAAGAGCATTTACGTGGTTGCAAGGATTCTTAGACACCATAATCCAAAAGCTACACCCAGCCTGGAGTTCATGGGACATGCTGGGGGACAGCTCCCAGTGCTGGCATCTATAGCAGAGGCTCAGTTAGACTTCTGGAAGCTGGCAGGACGGAGGAATCTCCAAGTCTGGGGAGCAGCAGCTAAGCAGAAGAAGGTCATTCCTGAGAGGGAAAGAATACAGTTGTGACTTCAGAAATCTAATTCAAAAGTCAGCCAAGCAGTTCATGTCACCTGTTTGTTTCGTTACTGTGAGTGATCAGCAACATATATCAGAGGGAAAGGTTTGTGAAGGCCAAGAAATTTCAAAATAGCATTGTTTTTACTTTGTTGAATTGATAAAAAATGATATTGCCTCAAGATGGAGCAGGGTTCAGAGCTGTTGTACACAGGGTGGCTGTGAGTCAAAGTCATCTTGGTGGCCCATGAAAAGGAGAGAGAGAAAGCGAGAGACTCAGTCCTCAGTCCTTATTTAGGGAGCTGTGGTAGGCTAGTGGCAAAAAGCTAGGGGTTCGAATCTACCAGCAGCCCCATGAGAGAAAGATAGGCAGTCTCCTCCCATGTGATTAACTGCCTCTGAAAATGCACCAGAGGGTCAGCTATGGGTCTGTTATGACTCAACAGTACACAACAGCCATGACCTTGAGAATGAGGAGTTCCATTGCCGATGCAAAGGCAGACAGTTTGAATCCATTAGCTGCTGCGTGGGAGAAAGATGGGCAGTCTCTTCCTGTGCAATTCACTGCCTCAAAAAACCACTAGAGGATCAGTCATGATTCAGATCCTATTTGGCAGCAATGAATTTGAAATTTTAATAAAATCTATATTTGGAGGGGGAGGAGCTTAATCATAGGGTCACATAATTGGATGGGTGGAAGGAGGCATGGGTAAACAAAAGGGGAAAGATCCAATGTGAAAAGCAATGTATACTAATTTTATGAACTTTGAATGTAAGCAAGTATAAAAGAAAGTGTAAACAAACAAAAATCTGTGTTTGTAGTGCCTAGTAATGCCGACACTGCAGCACTTAACCATCAACTGAAAACCCCACAGGGCAGGTTGTACTCTGACTCATGAGGTCACCATGGTCAAAATGGACTTGACAGCAGCTGACTTGAAAATCTGTAGTTGGAGCTCATTCGTTTCTCTAAGGTCAGCATTTCTGTATCTGCGTAGGGAGCCCTCAGTGGGACTCACAAGTGTCACTTCTCTTCCAGACTTTGTCGCTGCCTCGGGGAAAGCCAGTCCCACCGCTTCCAGGTTCCAGAACACGGTCCCCTGCCTGGGGAGAGAATGTGGTACCCTGGGAAGCACGATGTTCGAGGGATACTGCCAGAAGTGTTTCATCGAAGCTCAGAATCAGAGATTTCATGAAGCCAAACGGACTGAAGAGCAGCTGGTGAGATGCCGGGCAGTCTTCCCCGTGTGTGTGGCCAGACCCTCCTTGTTGGGTAGTCCCTTTCTGCCATCTGGGCAGATTGTTCCTCCCTTCGAGTTCAGAGCAGCACGTCCACATCCTTGTGGTTTCCAGTTCACGGCCACCATAGATCATCATGGCCAGAGCTTAGTGTGCAATACATTACCCTAAAGCCAATACCAGCTATAGAATGTTGTTATATGCCGTCAGGTTGCCTGCAAGTCATAGTGACCCTATGCCCACCAGCTCTGAACCCTGCTCTATCCCGAGCCAAATTTACTGTCTCCAACACACCCACTCCCATTATCCCAGTCACTGAATCAATCCATCCCATCAAGGGTCTTCTTCTCCTGCGCTGTCCTTCCACCTTCCCAAGTATAACATCCCTCTCCAAGGACTGGTCCCTCCTTGCAACATGTCCAAAAGTATGTAATCGAATGGAGAGCATAAACATCTACGTATTGATGCCTTAACTATCTACATTTTGCCAGGAAGGGAATCCCTGGGTGGTGGCCTACAGTTAAGCACTTGGCTACTAGGTGAAAGATTAGTGGTTCAAATCCACTCAGAGGTGCCACAGAAGAAAGTCTGATGATCTACTTTGGAAAGGTCACGGCCATTGAAAGCCTTGGGGAGCACAGTTCTACCCTGACACTCCTAGGGTCGCTGTGAGTGAGAGTCAGCGTGATGGCCGTTGGTTTGGTGGTTGGTGGGTTTTCATCAGGAACTCAGAAAAGGGGCTTGCACTCAGTGTCGTACAAGAAAGGCAAAGTGTGGCTGGTAGGCACTTCTTCTCATGTCGCTTGGTAGGAAAGGTACCTAAGAAATGGCGGGAGTTCTAGTGACCTGGTTTATAAGGCGTTTTACTCCTGGCCCAAAAATAGCTGCTCTCTGGTGATTCTAATCTACAAACAACTTCACAGGAGAAAAATGAACAGTCTCTCCTCCTGTGGGATTTAGAGCCTCCGAATCCCAATAGAGAGTCAGCTATGAGTCAGTTCTGACTCAACAGCTATTGAGTTTTCTAGTAATTCTTTTTAAAACACACAAAACAACTGGGCCCAATTTTCAGACCTCCATGGTATATAATTGAGGAACACCTTCAACCAGATGGATTGGCACACTGACTGAAGCAATGGGCTCTGGTGTGTCAGAGATTGTGAGGATGGCACAGGACAGGCAGGGTTCAGATCTGTTGTTCCGAGGGTCTCTATGAGTCATACTTGATAATACATAACAACACCATGTTATGATGGATGGTCCCATAAGCTCCACTCCTCTGGGCCCCTGGCATTCAGCGGGCTTAAAAGAAGGCTCCTATTTGGAGGCTGTGTGTTTCCTCTTGTATCTGTAGCATCCACATTGTCCAGTTGCAATTGCATGTGCTCTTCCTGAGAAATGAGTGTAACAGTGCTCTGTGTTTTCCCCTCACAGAGGTCGAGCCAGCGCCGAGACCTGTCTCGAGCTGCCCAGAGCTCGTCCAGGCCCAAGTGCACCCGGGCGTCCTGCAAGAACATCCTGGCCTGCCGCAGCGAGGAACTGTGCATGGAGTGCCAGCACCTGAGCCAGCGAGTGGCCCAGACTCCCCACCGAGGAGAGCCTGCTCCAGAAGAGCCCCCCAAGCAGCGCTGCCGAGCCCCCGCCTGCGAGCACTTTGGTAACGCCAAGTGCAATGGCTACTGCAACGAATGCTTTCAGTTCAAGCAGATGTATGGCTAAGCTCAGAGGCCCGCCCCAGCCTGGAGGGGCCGAGAGCCGTTCGCCGCCATGGTGCTATACTCACACTGGTGCTGCTGGAGGGTCAGTGCCAGCCACAGTGGGCTCCAGGGAGCCTTCGAGCAAGAACAGGAGGACAGCTCGGCTCTTCTTCATGGCTTCCAGATGCTGGCTGAGCTCCCACCTTGCTGGAGTGTTTGGCGTCAGCCAGGGGTGCCGCTGCTTCTCTTCCATGGAGAAGGCTCGGGACATTGATGGACTTGGAGTGTGTTCTGGACCTGGCCAGCACCCGCATCCTGCCCCCTGCAACTGCAGCATCCGCTGGAAGGAAGAGGGAGAAGATGCACTAGTGGCAGATCAGGAAACCAGAGCAGAGTCCTCAGGGCGCAGAGCCCACTGCGGAAAGCTCTCAGAAGCTCAGGGAAAACAGACTTACTGAGAGAGTGTGAGTAGTTGGTGGCTATCCCCTCTCCGCCTGGTTCCCTTCCTGTGGACAAGGCAAACTCTGAACTGTCCACGGACTTTGATTCGGAGGCTGCTGAGACTGGATAAGTCCTCAATGAAAAACAAACAAGCTGCTCGTATAATATGCACCTTCACAGATAGTATGGTTTGGTTGACAGTTGTGTACCTCATGTGGTTGTCACAGCCTTTCACATCTAAGGAAGTTAGCTTGACCTGAGGTGTGCGTAGACGTGTGTACATATATTCTATACCCTTATATTATGTATGAGGGGAATATTTTTTATGTTGAAATGCTGCCCTAGAGGTATAAGTTTGCATCTTGAAGAATAATAACCTGTTTTCTGGTTTTTTTTTGGGGGGGGAGTACCCATGGCTTATATGGAATTGACCAGTTACCTTTTTTTTTAAGTGGGAGTGCCCCAATTATGTCGGTGTGATTCATTTTATTTATTTTATTACGAGATTCAAGGTTATTTAAATGAAGATGTTTCTTCTGCTCTGGGGAGAAAGGCAAAGGTGTCCTCTCGAGATGACAGATGGCCTTCAGGTAGCCCTGTGAACCCTAACAAGTTGCTGCCCACAGGGTGGGGTCGAGAGTGGCCCCTTAGATGCACCCTCATTGGCTGCTTCTAGGAAAGAAGGAATTGCACCAGGAAAGAATTCAGTGTAATGCCATTCTTCTTTTGAACCTTTGATTCGAGCCGCTTCCCAGCCATACATACACTAGGCAATGGTTCTCTGCCCTTTGGAATTGACTCTGCATGTCCTTCCGCCTTGGAGAGGGAGGCAGGGTCTCCCGAGGAAACCCAGGAAAAGCTCCAAGATACAGTGAGATTGAGTGGCTGTTTTAACGCTGTGTTTTGAGGTGCTGTGCCTTGAGGCGCTGTGCAGCCACTTGTGCCCAGAGTCACAGTAAAATTGGGGCAGCAAATTCAGGCCATCCTGAGTGTAAGGAGTTCATCTTTCTTTCTTTGATCTGAAGCTTCTCTGTGTGCTCTCTGTTACCGTCATCCTTCCTTTAGAGGAAAAAAAAGAGGGGAGATACATTTTCTCCAGAAATAAAGGCTGCCTTTTTTTTTTTTCTTTCCCGGCCTGGACTTAATGACTGGAAATATCTGCAATCTGTAACTGGCCTTTTGTTATGTTATCTGACTTTTTGTTCCCTACTTGGAGCTCACACAAGTCTTTTTTTCTCCCTGTCACAAACCTGAAAATTCTCTTTTCTAAAAATACAAAGTAAATGTCAGTGTTTTCATCTGGCTCTATTGAAAGCAATTATTTTAATATTTTATGTGTTATATCTTATTTTCATTCTTAATGTGAATAATGGAATTATTTATACTTATTATAGAAATATTTGGAATTTGCACATCTAGTTTTCCCTGATAGAATGCCTTTTACTACTTATTGGACTTCTTGAAGTTTTCTTAAGTAAGTGTAACTTTTCACAAAAGACAATATTAAAAAAATAAATTATTTAAGAACAAACCTTGGTGTTGTCTCTGATGAATCATGGAAGACAAAGATAAGCTTAAATGCTAAACTCTTGTTTCTCGCAATTTGCTGTGTTGTGCATGTGTGTGATACATCCCTCACGCATGAGTAGTAAGAACATTTTTAGAGTAGCTGCCATGGACGGCCAAGAGAATGAATACGTATGTCTTGGAGATGGTGCAGCCGGAGTGCTCTTAAGAGGCAAGAATGATGAGGCTTTGCCTCACATGCTTTAGACATATTGCTGGGAGGTGCCCTTCCTTGGAGAGGGACATGATGTTGGGAAGGGTGGAGGGTCAGTGAAGGAGGGGAACACCCTCAACCAGGTGGATTGACAAGGTGACTGCTGCATTGGGCTCGTGTGTGAGGAAGTGTGAGGATAGCACAGGGCAGGACAGGGTTCAGATCTTTTGTTCATAAGATCACTATGAGTCATACTCAATGGCACCTTACAACAACAACAATAGCTGCTTGAAGGTAAAGCCATATGTTCAAGTTCAAGGCTGAAGTTTAACAAAAGGGGAGCTCTGGTGGCCTAGTGGGTTGAGTGGGTGGCCTGGAGAATGGTGTTCCTAACTTAAAGGTGGCATCTCTGGTGGTTCAAATCCACCAGAGACTCAAATCCCCTAGCAGCTCCGCAGAAGACGGGCAGTCTCTTCCCTTGTTACACAACCTCCGAAAACCCGCTGGAGGGTCAATTATGAATTGCTTCTGACTTGACAGCAAAGAGTGAATGAGTACACATTATTTATGCCCTCTTTTCTTAGTTTCCCCCCAACCCCAATGTCCCGCTTTACAACAGTGGCATTATGTAGTATTTGTCCTGTTGTGACAGAGATATTTCACTCAGCATAGTGTCCTCCAGCATCACCCGTTTTGTATAATAATTCATGAGTTCCTTGTTTTTCAGTGCAGCATAATACTCCATTGTGGGAGGGAACTGTTTAAAAGGGATATATGATTAGGTATTATTGTATGGTACGAGTCCAGAATGAAGGCTGCATAGTGGAGTTGACTGGTGGGGGAGGATTGTGTAACAATGAGAAAATTTTTTTTTTAACTTTTCAAAGAGAAGAGTGAACTGGGAGTGGGGGAAGGATGGGCAGGGAGAGAAGTGCAACAATGAATTAATGGAAATCCAAAGTCTCTGTAAAGTTTCATGAAAATTAGAGTGAATGAGTAAGTTTAACAAGACAGAAGAGGCCCGAGCGGGAGTGTGAAAAGTTCATCAGTAATTGCACTTGATGGGATGGTAGAGCTTTGGGCACCTCTGCAGAGTCTCTGAGGGCTGACCGTTAACCAGCAGTCCCTCTATAGACTGGTAATCTCACAATACTACCCTCCAAAGCCCTGTGGCCCACTATTCCTCCCTGACACGTGGGGGTCACCATGAATTGAAATCAACAGCAATTGGGTTTTCCTCACACTCTTCTGCGGGTTCCTGCCTTCAGCCTTAGTAAAGTGGGACAAGAGAATGAGAGGAGAAGGTGGAGAGATAGAAAAAGACAGGAAGGTATGAGAAGGAAGGGAGAAAGACAAGTGTAAGACATTCGTGGATTGGATATGCTAGATAGGGCAACACAGCTCTGATGACTAGGACTGGCTGGTGTCCTGGGACTGGATGAAATAGCTTCTTCACACACACAAATCTTGCACACGTGCGTGCACACTGGGTTGGTTCCCGGGACCTTAGCCGAACCAGACTTTCAAATCTGAAGTGATTCTGATTATCAGTTAAGATTTTAGAACCATTTTTAAAAAGTATTATTCTTGGTTTTGTTTGTTGTTGTTGTTGTTAGGTGCTGTCGAGTCGTAGACGACTCATAGCGACCTAATATATGAACAAAAGGCCTGAGCTCTGTTCATACACAGAGTTTCCGGACGCAAGCCATTTCGAAGTGGATGCCACTCCTGCTTCCAGGCTTGTTTTAGTCAGGAAGCTCCAGCCAACACTGTCCACCATGGGTATCCATTACCACATTTGGCACATCAGTTTTAGTATTGTTGATATGTGTGTATATGATTTTGCACCTACATTAAAGATAATAGTGTATATATTGCCACGTAGCTATCATCCAGTTTCCACAATTAATAGCATTTGGCCAAAAGAATTTACCCTTTTGTGGTTTGTTTGGAGTTCCTTTTTAATATTTTAAAGCGAATTCCAGATACTGCATCCTCAGAACCACAAATACTTTGCTATGAATTTTTAATAAAAGCATGTTCTTTAAATTTAAGGGCACCGGAGTACTTCTCTCTCCTTCTATTCTTGTCCTCACACAATCAGTACATGATCTAATTTCACAGATTGTCCTTTATTCGGACAAGGTCTGCTAGATCTCTGTTGAGATCTAGATCTAGGTTGTTACTATCTCTACAGGCTCTTTTATTCTACAGCAGTTCCTTTTCATTCTTTTTTTAATCTCATCAGTTTGTTAAGCACTGTGATCATTTTAGTCACGGAATTTCCCACGTTCAGAGTTTGGCTGCTTGCTTCTTCCTTGAGATGACTTTTAACTTGTTCTTCTCAAGACTTCAAGTCGGTTCATACCAATTGAAAATCGACACTTTAATAAGATCCCCAGGTAATTTTTATGTATATGTAAGTTGTTGTTGTTGTTGTTGTTATTGTTGTATGTCATAGAGTCTGAACCAACCCATAGCTGACCCTCCCATGGGTTTTTAGAGGCTATTAATAGAACACCAGTAGATAAGAAATTAAAAGATGTATTGCGATGGGAAAGTCTGCTGTTAAGGACCTCTCCAAAATACTGAAGAGCAATGATGTCTTTCTGGAGACTGAGGTGTCTCTGATATAGGCCACGGTCTTTGCTATCACTTGTTATGCATCAGAGAGTTGAACAATGACTAGGGAGGATAGAAGGAGAATTGATGCCTTTGAGCTGTGGTTCTGGAGAAGAGTATTGAGGGTACTATGGACTGCTAGGAAAACAAGCAGATGCATCCTGGAGAGGGTTAAACTGGGCTGCTCCCTGCAGGCAAAGATTCTGAGGCTTCATCCAACATACTTTGGACATGATGTA